GACACCGTTCCGATTCACTCTGTCGGTGCGAGCTGACCGTTGCTTCGTGGCGTGGCATCACAGCAGGTTCAGCTCACTTGGCCTCCATGTGCCCTAGAAGTCTAGAACCAGAAGGCTTAAGCCCGAAGTCACTCGCACGTCGACATTGACCGTCCTCACCTCGACCCGTACGCGCATTAGCGTACTGATGATCCTGTGCCGCAGGGAAAACACGTTGGCCGATCGAGTGCACCGGACGCCGGCACGTAGACCGCCGTCGAGCCGCACAACCCGAAAAGGCTGGCCAGCCCTCAGGAGTGTTTTCTTGGATGGATGATAAAGTGTGTCCGGACAGCTCGGTTCAATCGTTTGCGGGCGATTTAAGGGTTCGTGTTGAACATGCCTGAGGTTCCGTTTGGCACTCGAGGAATTTTTCTGCTCTCCATGGAAATGAACTGACTTGCGTCAAATTTGCAAGGTAAACACGACTGCAGCTTCCGGGCTAGGCTGGGAACACACGGAGAGGGAGATATCCTTGGTCGTGGACGGAGAAGATACGGTGGTCTGCGAATCGGATTTGTTAGCACTTAACATATGCTTCTGTGTACATGACAGTATCTGCTCATCTTTATAGGGGCTAGGGACGAGCAGATACGATTCCCACTTTTCAATCCCAGCCGACCAACGCAATCACAAACGATAAACAAAGGTTAAAGGTTCTCAGGGTACGATTCACTGCAAAGTTCGGTGGTGAAAAGATTCAGGGACCAATAATCCTGAAGCGTCAGGCATACTACGTGGAGAGGGACTCTTTTAGATTATAAGAGAAGAAATATTTGCAATGGTCTTTACAAGGCACAAGGGTACGTTCTAGTACAAAAACGATTTTTTTTTTACGAGAAACACCATGCATTCCATTAAATAGTGGTCGCGGCAATATCACCGGCCACAGCACCAGATACATCTATGGGGAGATCAGACAGCCACAAACACTGGCCATTGATCATTGCCCTTGAGCCATAACCAGCTAACAAGTGTGCTGGTACATTACATTGTCGAGGACAAGCACCAACTTTGTAATCTATGAGTCCCATTTGCAACTGGAATTTAGCTTCACGGAAAAGAGTACGAAAACGACTCTATCATAACATTTACATCATCACAGTATTTATGCGGCGAAAATGCAGCCTCTTTACGTGTCTACAGGATACGGTCGACGTCGATTTGAATAATGTGTCTTTTTAACACAGAGAAAACATTTCATACACCTACTTTCTGGTATGCTGCACCATTGATCAGGGCATAGACAATGCTAATTAACCGTGAGGATCCAATGGTCAAAAGCCGAGGAAAAATGAGCATGCTACAAACATAACACCTTCCAAGCCGGTATTGTAGTTTATCATCATCCTATAGACTGCGCACGTTTTGGCGGGTGTGTTTTCTCCACCGCCGCAGCATATGAATGCAGCCCCCGGCAGACAAAAGGCCACAGGCTGCAAGACCTAGAATGGTTGAATTTGCGATGTTCCCATGGTAGGCGCCCTGCACACAGAAAATAAAGGAGTGCTGTCAACCACTGTGTAAACATGCCACCGTGTAAACATGCGGCACATTAACATTTACCGCCAAGAAAGGGCTACCTGTATTAGGAAAATGAACATAGGTGCATTTCCCAGTGCTAGGGAAAAGCTCATCATGCCCCCACGTAGTTCATTTGGAAGGTACCTTCAGCAGTGTCAACCATGTAAATAGAGCTCTAACAAAGTGGGCTTCAATCTGAAATTTATCGAAACCATTTCACTTACATTGTCCTAAATCTGGCCAGCAAAGGTAAAATAAAGCCCATGGACGCATGGAAGATGCAGAACAGTATCACCAGTGTTCCAATCTCCTGTCGAAAGAAACAAGACTCATTAGACTCACGACACAAACTTTAAACTGTAGATGTATGTTGGCTTGCAGATATACACGGTCATTATGGTGTACCTGGTAATCATAAGCCACAACTGACAAAGCAAGCCCAGCGGCAATGTATGCTGTTGTCAGGCTATCCTCGTTCTGGAAAGGAGCCATGGCTCCATAAAACCATGGAACAGCAGCACTTCCAAGCATTCTCGAGACCAGGAAACATGGGTAGATTAGTGACAGAGGAGCATCCCTTCCGTCAGCCTGTTACATTAACAGATCTGTGAGTGTATAAGTGTGACTTCGGTCTTCAATCAAACCCTGATCAAGCACAACAACATAAGGAAAGCTAGCAGAAAAAACTAAGGTACAAACTCATACCACTATCGTTGGTGCCCAGAGGAACCAAAAGGCTGATACAGAGAACTGGACACTTGCTTGAGCTAAGACCAGAATCAGCACTCTTTTGTCTGAAACAAGCAGGAGATTCTTGTCAGAGATGAAAGTGAAAAGTGCAGGCACCGAAGAAGCTTGACCAGATGATAAGAGGTGAGTTTTCTATTCATTAGTTCACAATTAGCTGTAAACTCCGGAGGATAACAACAAAAGTTCCATTGTTCACATCATAAATTCACAACTGCTTTCTTATTCAACTATCACAGCTCCTAATCCAAGCATAGTCCAAGAAACCCAAAAAGTATCATATTGTTAAGGATAATAATACAGGAATCTCAATAGCCTCAAACGCAAAGCCACGAGACAATGACAGGACATTTCATACCTCTATCTACTTCATCCTTTAGCTATTCGAGGACATTACCTTGCTAACAGTATTAAAGATCCATTAACAAAAATGACACAGAAAGCATGAAAAAATAAACAGGATGGTATACTCACCACTCACCTCTGAGGACATGAGCAAAAAATGATTTTTGGTAGCTTCCAATGACAGATGCATGATGGGCGGTACTGATACTTGGTGCTTTTCTGATATACAATATTCCTATTATTGATACTAAGGCTGCAAACGTATACGGAAGCAAGATTCCTTTGTTATCATCATCAAGCAATAAGTTTGTGATTCCTTGACTTCCAACAAGGGATATTGATTCAAAGAATGTCATCAGCCAGAAGGTATCAAACAGCGAATCTTGCTTCTGGCCTTGCTGAAAATTCGGCATAAAATGGTTAAAACTGGGACACCATTGATGAAGGCAGAAATAGCAACAGAAAATGTCTATGCAAACACAAACCTTCTCATGCTCCAGCACAATCCATGTCTCAAAACAGAAGCAGAACATTGAGGATGCAAGAGCCAAAATGAAATTGTTGACCCATGCACAACGAAGCCCACTGAAACTCTTCAAGCCACCCACTGCAAGCTGAAGCATCCAGTAGAATATGCAAGCATTCTGTGGTCCTCTATGAATTTTAGTAAACAAATGTATATACCGATTAGAACAATAAAAATAGGTTCTCGTTTTACACGATATTAATAGGGAGAGAGAAGATCTAGTTATCTAATGGGCCTGAAATCCATGGAGATGCACATAACAGAAAATCATAACATATTATCAAACAGTAACACAGACCAACTGATGTGGAACAGAAATATACACAGAGGTACGCTATACAAACAATTAATTATACCGGTTTAAAGAAGCACTTAATCATACCAAGTTATAAATGTCCTTGGTAGTATGGCCTACTCTCTGTATTATCAACATTCTCACGTGACACTTTAAGTTTTTGAACTTCGTATACCATTTTACAGTTCATATTTGTTGGAAGAACATCTTAAAGCAGAATGGATGAGTAACAAATATAGTGCTAAAGGGGCGCACATATACTTAATAAACAGGTTACTTATACAGTTATTCTATATCTCATTCCACAGGCTTTTGTGAGGTGGGACATAACATAAATGAAGAAATATAACTTTAATATGGACCCTTGAACTTGATCGATAGAAACATAACTCTAATATGGAATCAGTCAGTCTAATACTCTACTCTACTGAACAAAACAGCATAGAATTTCTAGAGTCGAAACAGAGTTCTATAAACAGGCACCTACCAAGATAGAAACTGGTTGCCAGGATTATGTTCTATTTAAACATTGGAATGTGGTTGAGACTGTTCTGAGTTGCAATGCTATACAACTCACATATGCAGGCTATGCACATGAAACAATTTACAGAAAATGTTTCACCATTCGATGTAAACAAATGATCCAAATGGAGAACTCACAATTTGTCAGAGACAACGCCAGATGCACCGCCGAGAAAGAGCGCGGCGGCCGTGGCCGCGGCAAGGCGCGCGGCCATCTGCTCCCTGCCGAACCCGCACCGCACGAACTCATCTTCCCCGAACACCGACTGGATCCCCTCCGCCACTACACAGCAATAGAAAACATCACTAGAGCCGCCCTCGTCAACTCTACAAAATGCAGGGGGGCATGGGTGGTGCTGCTTACCGGATGCAAGGCAGAAGAGGAGAAGGAAGGCGCGGCGGAAGCGGAGGAAGGGCGTGGTGCCCACGTCAAAGGGAGAGGGCGAGGAAGGGGTGACTACGGCGGCGTGTGGCCGGGAGAAGTGTGGGAGGAGGAGGACGGCGGCGAGTGATGCGGCGGAGATGAGCGGGTAAGCGAGGGGGGTGAGCACCCACTCCTCCCTCTCGACCACCATCCCCATCAGCGGGATCGATTGTCAGGGGAGCCGAGAGGCCTCCGCCTGGCCGCCCCGGTCCGCGGCTGGGACGGATCCGGAAACGGCGGCGCCGGCACGCTGGTTTCTGGCGAGTTCACGTTTCCGGCGACTCGGACGGGGACCAGCAAGAGGAATGGGGTGGTCGCGGAGTCGGCTCTATGGGCCGATCTGGATAACCACTGGGCTCGTTGGGGTATATGATAATATGGGCTTTTCACGCGGATCTTTGGGTCGAAAATTAAATTTTACAAAATTAGTCAAAAATTTCTGAAACTTCTTGGAAACAAGAATAGCATAGCGTTATATTCGTGTGCATTTTTTTACGAAGGAATGAATTCCATGGCATTCTAGGCAACACAAAAACAAAATCGACACTATTAAAATGTTACTATTCATACTCTTTTTTATTCATTTTGTCTTTTTGTCCTAGAGTCCATAAAAGTCACTCCTTCAAGGAACTTTTAACACGAGTATATAACTATACTATTCTTGTTCCAAAAGTTTTAGAATTTTTCACTTACTTTGCAATTTATAAATTGTTACTTTCAAATCAGGTGCAAATGGGACCCAAGATCGATTGGGTATTTCCCCTCGTGGATGCTTCTCTTTGTGTTATAATATTTTATTTTCCATGTCCCTAATTTGGAACACAAAAAAAGGAGTACTATTATTCTCTAACTAATTCATGCCAAATTGCTGGTGACTGTTTTTGCGGGCGAGTTATGTAAAATTCAGCTTTAACTTGTGCTCCCTCCATTCACCGTTATAAGGTGTTTTGGATATTTTAATATGGACTAATATGAACTGAAATGAGTAAATAAACACACCAAATGCATCTATATACATCCGGTTTAAAAAAGTTAGAACATCTTATAACTCAGAATAATGTTAGTGATAATTTAGCTAAGTTTGCTAGAGATGAGGGCAGTACCATGACTTGGTTAGGGTCTGGCCCTGAAGTTGCTTTGTCTTTAGCTTTTGATGACTGTAAGGATCTTGTGATTGAGTAATACAAGTTTTCACCCACAAAAAAAACTTATAAGAGTGAATGAAGGCAGTACTTGTTAAAGTATAATGGACATATTGTTAGTTTGGGTGAACGAGGTGGATCATCAATGCGATTTGACAAGGTGCCAATAGCCAAGACATCTCAAATTTGCAAGTCAAACACAATGTTTTCAAAAATTACAGCCTACTTGATTTGTGTATTTGACTTCAAAGGAGCCTGTTAATTGTTTCTTTTTAAACACAGTAAATACATACGTCATTTTAATTAACTTAGATTTTGGTAAACGAGCTTGTGTATCAAGTATGCAACTTGAAAAGGTCAATATGGTTAACCTAAATTCAACATGAGTAGCTAGCAGCTAAAAACACACAAGAAAATTCAACATGTTAATAGATGTATATATCCAACTTGATTTACCCAAGACGAAGTGCAGCCTTCAACTTCAACAGCAAAAAATATATTGTACACTAGTAGTGGCCAAACTAGACATGATTTTTAGGGAGGCAAAACACAAATTTTAGATGTTCGGAGGGGGCCAAAGGCTATATTCGAAACTCAAAACATGACTTCAAGACACAAAATTTTGTTTTTGTTGTGCATCCCACTTGTCCGTTGGTCGTGAGCGATGGTTTGATCTAAGCCTAGCCGCGAGGGAACCCGTGTCGCTTTGTTGGGATTTTGATGTTGCCCGGGGATAGAGCGAAGCCACCATTGGGGTGTGTGGGGGTGTCGTCCACAGTTCCCTATCGCTCTACCCGTGTTGGAGGAGGCCTTCTAGGGGCATGGCTACATCTGATGACGGTTGGGTCATGGTACACTCAATGTAGGTCTCACCGGTTCTCCAATTGGTGCTTCTCTTTTCCCATGGCTTCGATCATATGGTGCATGCGTTGCTTTTTAGAGCAAAAGCATAAATGCCCAACTCCAAACTAATGAAGCGATCAACCGGCTAAGATACAATGGAGCTTGATAAAAAATGAAAGATAGCAGGCGAAGCTCGCTCACGATGAAGAACTACAAAGCAAAGCAACAATTAGAAGGGACCACCACAACGAAACCTGAATCAAACCGCTGGAGGGCCTGATGCAAACTCAAACAACAGAGCAACAACATCCGGTAGAAAAACAACCAAGCTAGACGAGAGGATCTGGACCGCATGGAGAAAACGTCGATTCAGATGCCCATCGACTCGGGCCAATGTCGAAGGGGAGATCCAGATGTCCCCTACGCCCAAATCGTGGCACAACATGCGGAAACCGTCCATCGACCGATAATCTAGAGGCAAACAGGGAAGAGAGCCGATGAATCATTATAGAAGAACCAACTTGCCAACAACATTGCCGACGTTCCGGAGAGCGGAGCACCGCCGGCGCCACAAAACACCTCGCAGCGGGTCCAAAACCCCCCACCCTTCCCTTGAATGACACCTCTAGGGAGGACTGTGAGCCAGAACACCGCCCTCCCCCTTGCAACGATACCTTCGCAAGACGGCATGCATGTGAGAGGAGGGGGAGGGGTGACGGTAGGGCTGGGGTCAGGTCACTCTTGTATCGCCTGTGGCGGGCGACGCGAGAGCCAGGGGGATTAGAGTCTGGGGACGACGTTTCATAAGCTCGGGCGTTATTTTTTGCTTTGGTTCGCCAATTGGATCGACAGGTTGGCAGACATGTCAATAGACCAAACGGAACAATCCCAAATTTTGAACATCAGACACAGGCAAAGGGAAGAAGGGTTGTCGACGTGACGTGACACCGAACACCATTGAAGAAAGGAGCGCTCAACTCTTCACGGGGGCTCCTAAGAAATAGACTGGTTCTCCGACCTCGAGTGCGAAGAAAAATCAATAGGAACCAATTTGCTCAAATTTCGTGGATGCATCATGCATGTCATCTTTATAAACACACGATTTATACATACATAATTTCCATTTCTCACTTAGTTCTGTGTCTAAAAGATAGAAAGACAGGCAAACAAATCAAAGGAATCCAACACCAACACAGCACCCCATGATTGGCAGCTTCTGGGGCCTTGGAGCCCCTGCCCCTGTTCAAACAAAAAAGCACCCCATGAATGACCGGAGAGTAGGCACATAGTTACCCTACTGGACCGGGTTTGGAGGCATACACATGCACTCCGATGGCCACAACCGCGATGGTGAGCAAGCAGAAGTAGAGGATGGCGTGGACGAGGATGGAGAAGCCGCTAGTGCCCATGTTGCCGAACTCCACCACCCTCACCCTCGCCGGCAGCTGGAACAGGAACCCCGGCGACAGCAGGATGAACAGCACCACCGCCACGATGATTGGGCCCCAGTCCGTCGTCGCCATCTCTCCTTTTCTAATTTCTATGCCACGCACACAAGCACAATTTTGACACTGTGTTCGGTTGTTACTCTCTGGATGCTTGGAGCTCACTGTGACTTGGTAACTTGGTAAGGGAGGAAATAGGCGGTCCATGCAATGGGATGCCATACTTTGGAGGCAAGGGACCCTAAAGAGAGATTTAACTGCGGCAACGTGTTGGTTGACAGGTACGCATGCCGCTTCTCTTTTTGGACACAGTCGGCCTACACAGCACGCAAGGGATCCCTTGAGTGTTTCCTTTACACATGCCGTAGTCAGCTGCTATAAGCAGGCCAAGTTTAGGATGGTTTGTTCCCTAATGGATTGCTAACATGGCAATCGATCGACAGATTAAAATATTGTATTGTACACCGGACCCAGCCCATAACGATGACGAAGCTAGGACAAAACATGGCAATATGTAATCTGAAAATAGCTTCAAGCTTGGTTTATTTCTGAGAATTCTGAATCTCTCGTGTATGATGACAAATCCAGATATCCGGCTACCCAATTTACTACTGCTGACAGGAATGCAAATTGTGTTCTCAAGAGGAGGAGCATATCCTGTACTGCAGAAACCAATTAGCACATCACAAATATATTTGTGAGCGAGTGAGCACCTAAGTGTATATCTATGGCAAATTTTAACATGCTCCCTCTTACCCCTTCTTTTTACATATAAGGTAAGAAGTTAAAAATTAATCCAACCACTAATTAATGTGATCAACGGCTCAGATCTACTACGTACTCTTACCTCTCATATGGAAAGAGGATGTAAGAGGGAACATGCTAAAACTGCTCGTGTATCTATGGCACATCACAAATTGTTCCAGCCAATACAAGGAGACACTAAATTCAGTATAGATGTACAATATTCAGTTTAAAAAGTTGAGCCCTATTGCTGCAGAGAGGCATGTCATCAGGTCAAGTAAATAATGGAGAACTTGGAATATATAAATCCGTATTATTGTGAGAACAAGTTCATGGAACAATATTACACGGGAACCTGATTTGGAGGTGCATTTAGATATTCGGAGAACGGAAAACTTTGTTTTTGCCACTCTAGCTTTTGCCAATTTTGCTTATGCCACTCTAAAATTTAACATCTCACTTTTGCCACTCTTTGCCTTTGACAATACATCACAAATGCCATTCCATGGCAAAACCGATAATTTTTTATTTCACTTTTGCCACTCTTAGCTTTTGACAATGTATCACAATTGCCACTCTGAAAATTTTGCTTTTGCCACTGAATGGTAAAAGTGATATATTATCAAAAGCTAAGAGTGGCAAAAGTGAAATTGTGGGGACCCCGACTCATAAGTCGAGATCACCGAATGCACGTGTACAGTGATCTCAGAGATCAATGCTCACTGAACACACAGAAGCTGAATAACAAGAGTCTTACATCCATGCATACCGTCTCACACAAATTATGACCATTATGGTCAAGTCTTACATTGATAAAGCCTTAAGGGCTGAACATCAAATGAAACACAAGCAGCGGAAATCTTCGTCGATGAGTAGAACCCATGCCATCTGCCTTAACCCTACAGGCATTTTGACTGGGAAACGTCCTAATTTGCATGTTCGTCTCCAAATAACTCTTCTTCGAACTTATGTTCTTCCATGGC